TTTTTTTTTCTGTGAACACTATAAAACTGGTAGTGCTTAACTCAAATGCATTATTTAAATGAACCATGATTTCTCACAGAGCTCATATTAAATTTTAAAATAAACATTTTGAATTCCATGTTTATAATTGCTCAAATTGACTGTTAATTGATGTTTATTTTATTGTTTTAGTCCTATATTTACTGTATACACTGTATTGTAGCAGACCAGCTGAAGACTGGGCTGCAGTTACAGCCACCCTACTAAGAAAGGCCATTTCATGGCACCTGGTTACTGTAAATAGCCACAGAAGGGGTGATTGGTTTAATTATTGGATAATTGCTAAAGAGCTAAGAATTTCATATTCTCACATTCCTGTAATTAGGCTTTTATTTTTTGTTTGTTGGTATTTAAAGGGTTTTTGTTGTTTATTCTGAAGGAGGACTTCAATAAAGCATCTTAGATTTAAATGTTTTATCAGCTATTGCGACTTTTTGTGCCTGTAGACTTCTAGACTTTTGTGACCACCCTGTTTAAGGTTAGAGGCTGTTCATATTTAACGTCATAAAGAACAAAAGGTGTGAAAGGCAGTGAATCTAAAGAGGTGAATAAAAGCTATTTTGCAGAGCAATGTTTTAAAAATAAAAATGCATTTTAAAGATATCTCACAATAATACACAGTGATATCACATTTACAGTGATAGTCTTACAGTTGAAAGTATTATTATACTAAGCAAATAGGTTAATGTTTTATTCATAAAACTTTGAATAACCATTATAAGATAGAAGCCCCAATTTCTTCCTGTCACTGGCTCTAGGGTATAAATATACGTCTCCTTACCACAATTTACCAGCTTTAATTTCACCACTCAGTTCTGCCAATCTACTGCTTCCTGACAGTTTCAAGAATCTTTGTTGAACTTGTCAAATTTGTGGGCAGCAAATTAGGTCTTCTGAGATCCCTCCTCTTTCACATTCTATTGATGTCGCTACCCACAAATAATTTCAAAAAGCAGCTCGTGTGGAAATAGCTTTTCAGCTCCACAATTTATTTCTATATTTGATTGGAATCAAATTATTCCTAGCTACAGTATGATCTCTTTCCTCTTTGTGCTTCAAATGATTAAAAAGCCTTCACATGATCACATTGCTGATGGAATCTGAAATGTGTTCATTATTTCAAAGTTAAACCCCATTTGTTAACTTCTGCCACAATTGTAATTTTTACTGGCACAGAAAAAAAAACATCTTTGGTGTTATGTCACCCCTAAATCTCAAATATCTTTTAGACACCTTGTTAGATCAAAAACCACCCTCCTACCCAATATATGTGCTTCTCTCCTCATTTCTTTGTGTAGTAGCCGAGTATTGTCTTATAGTTCTTTATAGGTTGTCCAGATTTAGCACATTGTTGTCTAATGGAAGTGCAATGAAGTGATGATGCTTCATGCTAGGATCATGATTTATTTTAGGTAGTGTTAATATCTTCCATCTTTGCTCTCTGGCAATAATCCTCTACCCTGGTTCCCAGAGAAACCTCTGCGTCTCCTGGTTTTTGTTCCAGGCAAGTTTTTAATTTCAATTTTCTATTTTCAGGCATGTTTTAAAGTACTGTCTGCCATCAGCTTTTCAGATGTTGAGTTTGAAAAAAAACAGTGGAGACACAGTGTTCTAGGGCCACGGTCAGGAACGGTGTGGAGATTTAAAATACGTGCATCATTATAAGCACATAGGGTTTATGGTGTCATGTCTATTAAAAACACAGCATTACCTTCCCATATTTCGTTTTAAGGGCTCTAAGATTTCCGTACCGTGTTTTATGCTTCATGCTAGGGCTGTGTCCTCTAATGCTTTAACTTTACTCTGTTTCTATGCTATTAGGTAGGTACCGTACCTGTTATTGCAAGTGTTAAGTGTTATACACTTCTCCTTCCCTGCCTGATGCCTGTTCTACATTAATTTGGACTTACCTAAACGTTTATTACCATATCTTTAAGGTCCTAATGGAAAAAAAATAAAAAGTGAGATAATCCCATACCCTTACCCTTGGTGTATGAAACTACTATGATGCTCTCGCACACTGGATCTGTAATACCTTTAGATAGAACCTCTCAGTTCCCGAATAACCCAAAGAGATTCACTGACTGACAAAAGCACCATATCTATTGCTCCAAATTCAAGCTCAGTAAATTTACAACTTACTGTAAGCCTTAAGCTCCAGTTTCTATCCCTAAGACCTCTTCTAGTTCTGTTCACTACAGATTGTCCTACCTCAAGCACAGAGTAAAGGAATTAATTATTCCCTTCTATAATCTATCAAGTTTGATGCAACAATTTTAAGGGATGCTCATTAATCTTGTATTTAATAAGTATGTGAAAGACCACTTTAGATCACTCTTTAGGGGCTTGGGCTACCTCCGGGCTATCGTTTTTTAATATATGTTTTAAAAAGCCAGAATGTACTACATATGCAATCCCATCGTGATGTTCATCCATGACAAATGAATGCTGTTTCTCTCCATAGACGTGTTACACTATAGAGCAGAGGGCCTGCATGTTTCCTCTCTTTTGGGGTCCAAAAGCCTTATTTGTACATTGCAGTATGTGTAATGCACACATTTGGGATCCATAGCAATCACATTGCTGCATTCATTTACAGCTATTTATCCATCGCTATTAGATGCAGTGTATAGTCTACTGAAATTAATGCTCTATGTGTTTCCATTATTTTCCTGTTTTGTGGGTCCAGCAACCACATCTTTATGTAAGATTTAATTTCTTATTCAGTGGAGCAAAAAAACATACAATGTCTTGTGTAGTTGTGTATGTACAGTACTTCAGTACTTTTTTGTAGTGGTGTCAGCAGTCCTTCAAACTACAGTAACTAGGTTTAAGCTAAAATAACAATAAATACCTGGCCCTCAATCATCTTATTTCTGTTTGTATCTTCTGAGTACTAAACAAACTGTTATGCAAAATAAAAATTGCAATGTTATTGGGGATGATTTCTGTCTGAAATGTAATAGCCCTGGCACATTTCCAAACAGCAAAGAATAAAAACCATAATTATTGCCTTTAGACATTTTGAAAATGTTATTCCTTGGCAATAATACACTCTCCCTTAGGGTTTATACTTACAAATCTAAAGAAATTCTACACAAGTCCTTTACTACTTATTACTCCAATCCTAGATGAAGTTTGGCTACTTTAGTGAGATATTAAACTGAACTCAATTAGATTTGGAACAGGGCAGAGGTTATGGACTCAGTATTCATTATGTGGATGCCTGACCTTTCTTTGAAATATATCTTGTGAAATAACTTATGATTTCCTACATAACAAAAATATAGAGGGAAAAAGATTAACTTCATGTATTTAACTTGTGTGACCAATAGACATTTTATTATGAAAGGAACTATAAACAAAATTATACAAGACTAACAGTAAAAGCTGCAATATGACATTGAGCATACCCTTAAACAATTAATTTGAAAACTTACAGATTCTTTCCAAATATTTTTTTTTTTAACGAAGCCTTTATTTTACAAACAAGTTATAAATATAAGACCTTTTCATTTAGCGGCAAGAGAGTGAAAGACAAATTGCTTAATTATGTTGTTTCTTTTTCATTTTGATTTAATGTTGTTTGTCCCAGGGGCCAGTTAACTATTGATAATGGACTACAGGGAAGACTTTTATAACCTTTCTGGTGTTTTAACATAAGAATAAATTAAGATGCTATTAAGATTCAGTTTCTTAATTTTTGTTGATTAATTTTCCTTTTGGTTAGTTCTGTTTGATCAGCTGCATAATGATAAGTTAAATAGTACACAAAAATGCCTCACAAGTAAAGTGAAAACCAAAATGGTGTGCTGTATTAGTCATACAGTGTGTTATGTGTGTATGTTGACACCCAGTTTTCAACTTATGAAACCTATTTTAGATATTGAAATAATTGTATTCTCTTATTTATCTTAAACAGTGCAGACTCCAGGAAACATCAATACAGTACATCCCATTGAAGGCCATTAGTTTATACATAGCTAAGAAATTTACCAAAACATTGCTAAAAAATCTCTTCATTCAACAATAGATGTATTTTAAAGTACCATTATACATTATTTTTATTAAACTCTACACTCCATAAAATGTTTCTTGTTAAAAACCACATATTATATCTAAGTTTCCCTCCGGTTATTGCTTTGGTGCCTGTTTCGTTTTTCCAAGTCTGTGGAATGCCATTCCGTGGCAATTGAGTGAGGATATTTCTTTTTCTGTGAGACTTTTTAACTACTTTTTAACTACTTTGAGAAGCATAATCAGAAACAGTGCCAAAACTTCAGAATTATAATGTCCTTTTCCATAAAATGATTAATCTATAGTGCAGGGTGTATGTACAGTATCTCTAAACCTTAATAAACTGAGGTATTTGTCAATGTCACAGTACACCTCCTGATAATTGATGGTAGCAGTGAAATTTCCTATCATTTCCACCAAAGGTCAATACAGATATCAATAACCACATTAATTGCACGTGCTCATCTTGGTCATATTGAGTAACGAACCTTATTTTCTTAAGGAGATAACATGAAAAATCCCTTTTAAGACACTAGACGCCACACATTAAAGCTTTAGATTTAGGAACTACAAGCTCTGATATGAGAACTTAAAACTGCAATAATGGGGCAATATTGCTCATCATGAATCTTCTGTACAGTACACTACAGTACACACTGCCTGTTTTATTGTATAGTTGAAAATCTCTGGTTGTAATAAGAAGATTATCATTTCAATTCTGTTTCCAGTTGTGACACATATACAACATCTTTGAGCTCTGAGCAACAGAAAAGGGCTCATTGCCCTGTTATCTATCACAGTATTATAATTGAATTGAACAACCTTATTTAAATGGCAAATAAGAACACTTGTTGCATTTTTAATGCTTCTCCGTACAGAATATTTTCAATAATTTTGTTATGAAAAAAAATCTTCTCCCTCTCTTCTTCCTTATCTAAACCTAGGTTGTTCCTAAAAAGTCACAGCGGAACAGCTGGGAAGCAAAGTAGTCTCGTGATACATGGAGCAGATTTCAGCACAAAAGATGTGGACAATGACAACTGCATCTGCAAGTGTGCTGTGATGCTAACAGGAGGTAATGCAGCATGCAAAAGATATCAGTTACACCCCATTTTAAATTAGTGACTTTGAAAATGCATGAATAATGTTGAATATCAGCCACTAGATCAAATTCCTTGCCAGCAGGTTACAGAAAGAGAAACTAACAAAAAGACCCTCCGCTAAACCAGTATGTACTTTATGAAGTATTGATTTATGCTAAAAAGGATAAGGTTTTTTTTTCACTACACAAAAAAGTAAAAAAATAAATTGCTAAAATGGATTATCTCTATCCTTGTACTTTTAAAGTGACTTTGCAAATGATAATTAACTGAAAACACACACTGATGTCATTTTTGGTTATATATTTTCATTTTGGTTATGGTTTGGTTGTATTTCATTGAGGCACTGAACTGCACTGCATTGCATTCATTTATTTTCAAGAGGCTGTAGCTATCTTTTTCAATGATCGCTGAGTTTCTATAATTGTGCACTCAGCAGCAATTATCGAATTGGTCTCTTCCTTACTTTTCTTGGTATCCCAGTGTTGTAGGAGTGCTTCATAGCCGTCATTAGGAGTGACACCCAAGGCTATCTGGTGAAAAGCATGTGTCACAATATACTGTACATGCTTTATAAAAACACGATGCAGCATAACAGATTACAATTCTCAGCTTACCAAGAGCTCTGTGAAACTTTCCAAACAAGACCAAATACAGGGATTACTCCCAAAAAGCTCCAACCACCATAAGTGTAATTCACAATACAATTTTATAAGAACTCTTTAACCTGGGGTGGGGGCTATCTACACCAAGCATATATCCACAAATTATGTTGCGCAACAGAAGAACTAGAACGCAAGTTCATAAGATAAGGGGTGGAATAATGTAAAATAAAGGGGTGTGTTAACAATTTGAAATCCTTCATGGAACACTGTCAGTTGGATATTATTCTTGGCAAAGGAAGAGGCTCAGGACACAATCCATAAGAAAATAATGAAGTCCATACGGATCATCACATCCTGTGCACTCTGCACCTATTACATTCAGGTTTGAAATGCTCACGAGATGCATTTATTATGTAGAACTGAATACCAAGTTATTCAAACGTTTTTTTTGAAGACTAACAAAGTAATATTGCTGAATTGAAAACAATGTCCCTGTGGCTAGGTTTTCCAAAGTTGCATTGAAATCACATACCCTAGAGTAGTTGATTGTGAACGTTTTCCTTTCAGAAGGACATAAAACCAATACAGAATGAGAATAGACACTTTGACCCGTCATATAAGTGAATTATTGAAAGGACATTAATTTGGGAAATTTTTAAAAGGGTGCTGTCTGAAACAGAGGGAACAATTTACTAGTGAATTCCTTCTGTTTATCATTAAGTATACAGCAGAATTAAGGCTCTTGAAAGTTAAAAATTGAATAAAGCTGAACGTGTCACACTTGAGGTAATAACTATGTGAGTATTTAAAGCCAGATGTATTCTGGTTATGTTATGAAATTGTCAAAAAAATAATCTTTCATGTGGGAAAATCATTGACTTCCACCTGCAAGAAAACCAACAGTAGCTGGTTCATTCTAAAGCATGAAAAGCAAAACATTTGCTGCAAGAACAGACTTTTCTAATTTCAGATGTGAAGCTCTCCTACTCAGTGCTACTGAACACTGTTTCAAACCTGTTATAGAAATACTGCATGTGCTCATATTGGCATCTTGTCACATGGGGAGTGCTGTGGTTTCCAAAGGACAGCAAATGACTTTAACATGGGAAGAGACCAACATTTCCAGGCTGTCTTTTAGTAGCAGCATTGAAATGTGAGTGCTGTAGCTGGTATGTCAAACTCCTCAGACTGTAGAGTATGTGCACTGCCATATGTCAGTCTGGCAAATGTACTTCACACGAGTATTCTGCCAGTGTTTCATTTGCTACTCAACACCAGAACATATTGACACGTTTGTAAGAAGAACTTAATATCTCTGGCCTTATCAAGTGTGAAAAAAGAAAAAAAAAACTGTAATAGATCTAATAAAAGCAAGAGATGATTCACTGAATTAAAAACCATTGTTTCACAATGGTTTACAAAAGTAAACCATGGCACTCTCATAAGCTTTTCAATACTAAAGCAAGTAAAGATTCTGAATGCCAAATACCATAACAAACAGTTACTGTAGAGAATCTGGTATAAGTTCCCTCCTAAAAAGAAAAAAAAAAGGTTTTTATACTGTATGCTCTTTAGAAGTGTAAGGTTTAAATGTAATTCCCATAGAGTGAAAGATTTATTTGTATTTTATACAAGTCATTTGAATCTTTGTCAGTGGCACACCTGTCCGAAATATAAAGTACATGGTTAATGGAGAACCAAAGTTGCAGACAAGTTGTACAGTCAATCACCTTTATTAGATAACTGAAATATATTTGGCTATGATGAGATCCATGCCACCAGTTTTGTACAGTAGGTATAGGCCATTGAGAAGGTGGTCTTTCAATGGAAAGACACAAGCAGTGCATGGGTTGAAGGTTACGGATGATGCACAGGGAGAGCTGAGGCAGTGACTTTTGAACATGGTCTTTAGTGATGGCAGCTTGAGGATTTTTACATCATTCTTTGGATAGACTCAATGTACAAAATGAGACTGTAGAGCCTAAGTGCTCATCTGGGCTGTGTTCTGCCAGTTCCAAACTGCCTGTTGTGACAACTGTGAGTGTAGCATGCTGGGAAACCCACTCCCTGGGGAACATTCAGACAAGGAAACTCACCCTCCCTACTGATGTCCTAATCATCCAGACCAGGGAAGGTACTGTATGCAAGTAGTTGTACAATATAATGACTGATCAAACATGCACTAATATCTAACTGAATGTTCAGTAGTCCAATCCAGGGGTGTCTACCTGAAGCCAGTGTGGTGGGTTTCCATGTGAAGATTGACTTTAATAAGTGTCATTTGCTTTTACAGTTGATTGTTAGTGTAGGTTCTACAGACATTTCAGGCCTTGTGTACATTTTAACGCCACTCTCTAGTTTCACAAAAGTCATCCTTATTTTTAAAACAAATGTAAAACAGCACTGTATTAACCTGCACGGTATTTAGATAATTGTTACACATTATGAAACAGTGTCAACATATATTGTATTTCTCAGAATGTTGTCTCAAAACCTAAGCTTTAATTCTTATTTCTGAACTTTGGTAAGAATCAGGAATTTTCTGTAATACGACATTCATGTTGGTAGACAGTAATCCTTTTCAATAACATTGAAGTAATATCAATGAGCTAAACTACAATCAAAGAAATAGCCTTTTCATGCTAGAACATATTGCTTTTCAACTCAGTTTGCAGCTATTTTGAACTGTTAAAAATGTATATATATATATTACTGTATACAATATGTCGCAGAGACTTACTGACTGCTCCACTTTTCCAGGTTGGTGGTTTGATGCCTGCGGACCATCTAATCTCAATGGGATGTATTACACTTTAGGACACAATCTTGGCAAACTCAACGGTATAAAATGGCATTACTTCAAAGGGCCCAGCTATTCCCTGCGTGCAACAACCATGATGATTCGACCTTTGGACTTCTGAATTTATCTTCACATGAATGCTGTTGACACCAGTGGCATCTACAGAAAGGACTGTGCTGTGCGTCTGCCCTGCAATGACTAAGCAGTCTGAAAAAAAAACTCACTCATAGAGCACAATGATGACTCTCAAACATTTTTCAAGTTCTTAAATCAATACTTTTTGAGCCTTACATTAGCTGTTGGACTATAGACTTGTTGACTGCTGTTTTAGACATATCCATGAAGGAAAACCATTGTATCACATTATCAATATTTTGACTTTGATAACTAAAAACATGTATGTCATCTGAGACCTTGTTGTGTTAGTTTTGATGGCTGAAAAATAGCAATAATGTAAACAAGACAAATTAGTAGCAATTATGTTTAAAATGTTTCAAGTTTAGTAATCACCATTTGATTTTGCATAGTGTTTCGGTATGATCTAAACAGTAATGTGCAGATGTTTTGATTGCGTTACAACATATAAGGTATTTTTTGCACTATACCCATATACTTAAATTTGTATTTGACATATTTCAGAAATATCATGATGTTAAATTAATCCCCTTCTAACAATACAGTCTCCACATGACATTTCATGCTGTTGTAGTACATAACTGTACTTGTGCTTGTGCTTGTTAGTATGCCTACTATTTTAAGTTCACTGTAAAAAGTAAAAAAAAAACTCAAAATGTCTCAGATGCATCCATGTACTGTACATCACATTTGGCTATATTATTTACTTCCTCAAATAAAACATTTATCACTTACAGCAATCCTTTTCAAATTTAGATTTAGTTGAGTACATTACTATTATTTGCTGCAGTTTCCTTTTTCATTTGACTTATTTAGGGGTCTTAATATTAGTTTCTATTTTGGAATCTAGTGACAAGTCTTTTATTACAGTATCTGCTACAGGAGATTAATATCTACTTCAGTTGCTTTTATTAAAATGTTTTAAACTAATTAAAGAATTCTGGGATTTCTAAAAAGAAACCATTTTTGCCTTTGAAATGCATTTTGCCATTTTTTCAAATGTAATGTGCCTGTGGAAGAAAACCTTTACAGAAAGTAATATAATCTTATTGTTATAATAAATTTGAATGATCAATTTTTACCATGACAGAAAAATAAGTACAGCAACTTCAAAGTACTGCACGATACTGTATCTTTCAAACATACAAGTGAAATATTAAGAAAAAAATGTATTTCTTTTATATAAGGTACAAAAAAAGTGAACAATTCACTTCAGAACAAATCTGGAATGCAGAAATGTCGTTTAGTGTTTATAAAGTTTAGATTTATTCTCTATGATGTATAGCACAGTAGCTTTGAGTCTGCGCTCTGAGATGAGAGCTCTAAAAAGCTGCCCTCTTTTTAGTGTAACTACTAGTACTTCAGCTGTGTGACATAGCTGAAATTCACTACTGACATATTCTGTTTCAGTAGAATCTCGCTTTCTCATATCCATTTAAACCTCACATTTACTATGTCCGTAAAGGAAGAAAATGAAACTACTTGGTGATCATATACATTAGGTCTCTTGAACAGTCACAAGTTTTCATTTTACACGTTTTTCACATCTGAAAATGTTCTATGTAAGGTAATGCATATAATCCCATAACAATTGTGCAAATAGTTTTTGACGCGATAACCAAAACAGGTTGAAATACATGCTAAAACCAAGGTACTTAATATTGTGGTATTCTAGAAATCATCAAAACAAAAGTAATAGTTTTCTGTTTCTTCATTGTTGTGGTTTTAAAATAATGTAGCATAAAATACATATTAATTACTATTGCAATTACAGTCTCCTTAAAACAAATGTACTTTATCAGAGATGTATAAATTTGTGTTTCAGACTGCTACAGTACAGAATGGTGGTTCACAAAGTACTTAAATGTATTTTATCAATGTATTTTATTTGCTCCAGTTGATGTGGGTTGGTTGCTGGTTAGTCTCATAATTCCAGGTTGTGGATGTAATCCTGTCTGTGCCAAGTTTACAAGCACTCCTGTTTCTGTATGGGCTTAAGGTGTTTTAGCTGCCTCCGACTTTACAAAACAAAATCTTAATTAAATTAGCTAAATTTAAATTGCCTGTCCCCTAGTGGTTCTAGTGATATTGGTTCTTGCTCTCAGTGCAAACAGTATTGGCTATAGGACACAGAAAAAGAACCACATTTGCTTGACAGGCTGAATTGTGTTTGGTCTTTCTGATGTTCTAATGCTTAGTTCATTCCATTGATGTCCAGTTCATTAGGTTGTCTCCATTCATAACTGACAATACCATTATTATATTCAAAGTTACTGACAATACCGTGACACAGAAATAACACTCATAGGGCAAAATGTTGGATGGCTGAGGACTTTCAGATGGGATTGCATGGGTGGAGGTGCCGTTGCTAAATATTCCAACATCACATCTCTCAAATACTGAAAAGAAGAAAGTAGGAACAAATCTAAAAAGGAATTCTCATGTACAATTCATTCTGAGTTGCTGTATAGAACACAAATACTCACTTACTGTACTTGTGTTCTTCACATACAGTACTATAATAAGGCATGAAAGATGTTGCTTACTTCAGGTAGGGGCAATTTCATTTACTACTTATGTGATGAAAGATAATTATATGTCAGCATACTATTATTGAAAACAGGTACTTGTGGCCTTAGAATCTTTTAAACTTGTAAAACCTATACAGTACATTTTGTAAACCTACTAAAAAAAAAAATGTAATTTTGTTTCTATTTAAAAGAGCTTTCCTAAGGAAAGCTGTTGTTGTCTGCTTTGTTCCTCCCCCAGAACATTTAAATTATGTATAAATAATACTTTTAATGTCACTGCTTTTACCTCATTTAACTGTAGATTCTCCCCCCCCCCCCAAAGTTGTTCAATTCTCTTGTAACCAATTGTCAAATCCTGTTATGAACTGCGATTAAATAAAAGCATGTGATGCACTATTTCTTTAATTATCTGAGTTTCAGATGAAAAAGTTGTAATATTTTCTAATGAAGGTTTCATGTAAAATAAAAATATGGTACTAAAATATGTAACATTGGTGAACAATAAAAAGCTGAATATTTTTGTACTGCAAAAAAATTGAAAAAGTAACTTTTCACAGTTACAGTACAAATAATTAGGACTCATGAATAGGGAAAACATGAAACTACTCTTGCCTGGTGACCATGGTTTACAGTATTTCAATAGCAGTGGTTTCTCTTCTTTTAATGTCAGACAAGATCAGGTGAGATCTCTCCAGAATCAATATTGTTCTTTTAATTTGGTTTATTCTAGAGTCTGGAAAAAGATTAATTAGAGCAGTGGGTCTCAAAGTCCTATGGTCCACGGACCACTTACACCAAGTCACA